GGAAATCATTGTGATAACGTTGTAATATTACTAATTTTGCTCCAGGTTGGTCCAATGGACACTCACATGGTAACAGAAAGAAGACTATAAGCAAGTTTGTCAGGACCTATGGAACAAATATGAGGCTGCAGGTAGAGGTTTCCTAGATTGCATCATTACTAGTGATGAAATGTGGTGTCATCTCTATGAGCTGGAGTCAAAACAGTAGTCCATGAAGTGCCAGCACATGAATTCCCGTCAACAGAAAAGTACAGAAGTCAACTTCAGCAGGTAAAGTGAAGGTTTATATCCCTTTTCCAATTGTTTTGTCAATGCCCTCTTCTTAGAGAGGGATCCCAGCTGTTTAGTTTCACTGCCTGCTCAGTTCAGGCTATTGTTTATTATCCTATCATCAGCACAGCCATACGATAAAATGCTCACCAACATCCTGCTGCCAGTATCACATCCCACCACTGATGCCCAGCAACTCCCAAGCAGTGGCAAAATAACCCTGCTCAACTCCCTACAGCTTTATAGTCTTCTGCATGATGCCATGTATTATGGAATAATCTCTTGACTCAGGCCAGCTGTTCTGCTTCTGCCCTGTTTCTTGTTGTCACATCATAAAGGCAGCAGCTCCTCCCCATTAAGTAATCTAGACCTGTTCTACCTCAGCCTAGAAATGGTTCTGCCACTCAACAACCAAAGCATTGGTGTGTCACGAGCATCGTCTTGGCTGAAAGCAGAACAGAAATGTGCAGATTGCATGAAATTTCAACCTATAAGTAAAATAGCTAAGAGGGACTTATTTTCAAGAGCAACTAGACTGTGAGTAGCGATTGTACAATATGTTTGTTTATGCTTAAACAAGAATGTTTGTTTTTACTAACAATTTCTGGAGTCATAATCTAGAATGTTTGTTCTGAGGAATGATAGTAAATGATGTTTACAACACTAAGTATTTTTCAACTATGATCTTTCAATTTATAAATAATTTCTGAATAAGAATCCAATTTTCATAGAATTATAGAATCATAGAATGGCCTGGGTTGAAAAGGACCACAATGATCATCGAGTTTCAATTCCCCTGCTATGTGCAGGTCGCCAACCACTGGACCAGGCTGCCCAGGGACACATCAAGCCTGGCCTTCAACGCCTCCAAGGGTGGGGCATCCACAGCCTCTCTGTGCAACATATTAAAGTGCTTCACCAAACTTTCACCAAATATCTAATGTAAATCTCCCGTCTCAGTTTAAAACCATTCCTCCTTGTCCTATCACTATCCACCCTCATAAACAGCCATTGCTCTCTTGTTTATTATGCTCCCTTCAAGTTCTGGAAGGCCACAATGAGGTCTCCCTGGGGCCTTCTCCATGTAAAACAATCCCAGTTCCCTCAACCTTTCCTCATAGGAGAGGTGCTCCAGCCCTTTGATCATCTTAGTGGCCCTCCTCTGGACCCACTCCAAGACCTCCACAGCCTTCTTGCACTGTGGGCCCCAGTCCTGGATGCAGTACTTCAGATGGGGCCTCACAAGAGCTGAGTAGAGGCGGACAATCACCTCCCCCAGCCTTCTGGCCACTCATCTTTTAATGCAGCCCAGAACAGTTGGCTTTCCAGGCTGCAAGTGTACACTGCTGACTCATGTCCAGCTTCTTGTCTACCAGGATCCTTCTCCGCAGGACTGCTCTCAAGGAGATCTTCCCCCAGTTTGTATAAATACCTGGGATTGCCCCAACCCATGTGAAACACCCTGTACATGGTCTTGTTGAACCTCATTAGGTTTTCATGGGCTCACTTCTCCAGCCTGTTGATGTCCCTCTGGATGGCTTCCTTTCCTTCCAATTTATGACTGCACTCAGCTTGGTGTCATCTCCAAGCTTGCTGAGTGTGCACTCAATTCTATCATCTATGTTACTGATGAAGATGTTGAAGAACATTGGTCCCAAGGCTGACCCTGAGTGGCACCATTTGTGACTGGCCTCCACCCTGATACAGAACCATTAAGCACAACCCTTTGGCTACATTCAGCAAACCTATTCCTAATCCATCAAACAGTGTATCCTTCAAATCCGTACCATAATTTAGAGATACGAATGTGGTGCGAGACCATGTCAAAGGCTTTGCAGAAGTCCAAGTAGATGACATCCATCACCTTTTGCCTGTCCACCAAAGCCGTCACTCCATCATGGAAGGACACCAGATAGGTCAGGTAAGATCTGCTTTTGGTGAAGCCACGCTGGCTGTCTCAAATCACCTCTTTATCTCATACACTTTTCATTAATTAAATATTCTAGTTTTGTTTAGAATACTCAAGATCTTGCTGATCTGTATGTTAAAATGATTTGTTCATTATGCATTTACCAGTAGAAATTAATTATTTTTGAGGATTTAAAGAAGTTGATATGATACCTGTCCCCTTTCAGTGAAAATACAGATGCATAATACTGTTTGGAATATTCCTTTTATGAACACTAATTCCTCTTTGAGTTTTAAAGGCCTGACAAATATGCAGTCTAAAAAAAATATTTTTTTTTAAAAATGTCTGCTTTAAACTTTGCCTGATTGTAAAGGTATTCAGTTTTCTTTAAAGGTATTAAGGCAGTTTGGTATCAGTTTTTTTCCTACCTTGTTAGTACTGTTAATACAATACAGTAGTGCTCTTTTATATAATTTTAGATAAATTTAGAATATTGTTCTGTGAATATGAAAACAGAGAAATATTGTCTTTTTTTTTCTGTATGACCTCTTTTATTTCTACACCTCAAATATATTACCCAAGATTAGTTGTTACAGGTTTGTATAACTTTTATAAATGTATAATTTTCATTACTAAAATTAAAATATTGGTGTAAGAACAGCTTTTTAAAGTACATGGTCTATATATACATGTTTTTGAATATTTCCTATGTCAGAATAAAATTAATCTTACTTGAAATACATTAATAAAATGCTATTGATTGATGTGATATTAAAAGTACATTATCATACATATAAGGATTAATTACAAGCATTTTAGATGTTTATCACACTCGCTATTGAGACATACGAAATCTATTCATATGTTAAAGGAATAAAACATAAGAATCTGGTTAAGTTATATTAAGTTATGAGGAATAGAATCATAGAATGCTTTGGGTTGGAAGAGACCTTTAAGATCATCTAATTCCAGTCCTTCTGCTATAGGCATGGACACCTCCCTCTAGATCCAGTTGTTCAAAGCCCTATCCAGCCTGGCCTTAAACACCTCCAGGGTGGGAGCATCCACAACCTCTCTGGGCATATCTATTTTCGCTCGTCATCTCACATCTCAACGTAATGTTAGCTAGAGATATTATTTCCTTTCCTCTTCTTTCATTTTTCTGAGTCTATTGATCCTGATTTTGTTTCACTTTTTTCCTGTACAGTTTTTATAAATGATTTTCTAAATACATTGTTCCATTGTTATTTTAGATCATAGACTCCTAAAACGGCTTGGTTTGGAAGAAACCTCAAGGATCATTAACTTCTAACCCTCGCCTAACAGGATTCCTTACTGCTGGATCAGGTTATAGATTAGGTTTCCCAGGGCCCCATCCAACCTTGCCTTGAATACCTCCAGAGATTGGTATACTCAGCCTCTCTAGGCAGCCTGTTTCGCCACCCTCTCTGTGAAAAACTTCTCCTTGAAGTGTAATCTAAATCTCTCCTTCTTTAATTTAAAACTTGTCCTATCGCTTGTCCCCTTGTCCTATCACTATCTTCCCATGTAAAATGTTTATATCCTTCCTTTTTATAATATCCCTTTAAATACTGAAAGGTAAATAGATGAAAGATGAAAATGTTTTATATTGAAATTATGATCTTCTGGATTATTGCTTTACAAATCCATAATACTGCATACAAAGAATATCATTATATTCTGTGAAGACTTGTGTAAATCTAATATGAATGTCTGCTGATTTCAGTAATTGAAGCACACAGCATATTATGTCTTCAAAGATTATTTGTATGTATGCTCACTAAACTTAAGAATTTTGGGAACAGATATAGTAGAATACATAATTACAAACACTTTTTCTGTATTAAGTGGCTTCAGTCATAAGTATACAACATAACCAGGTCGTTATTTTAACTGTTGTTTGCCCACTGCAAATGTCTGAGAAGTGGTGTTTTTGTTTTTTCTTTACAGCCTGTTTTTTTTGTTGTTGTTGTTTGTTTGTTTGTTTTACATGTTTAAATGTTTTATTCATGTTTTGAGACAAAACTGAAAGAATACCAAATGAAAATTATTGTACTGCTTTTTAAAGTCAGTGTGTTTCTACAATTATTTATAAGCTTAAAAAGTATAGTTTACCATAGCTTGTGAAAGACAACAATGGCTATACAGTATAATGTACGAGTTCTGACACCAAATGAGATTAAATGAATTAAGAAAATGGCAGAACACTGATAAATAGTTTTCAGACTGCTATGATGGAAAACTGGCTTAAAATGGAAAGCTCTATTCTGCAAAATTGTGAATAATCTATAACAAAAAAGCTCATTAACATTTTGGATTACTTGAAATTTACGGTATAATTTTTTTAGTTGGATAGTTTATTTGACAAAAACTTTAGTCAGTTTGAAATTTAGGTCCCAAATGAGTTCTCTTCAGTTAGACTCCTTGTCACGGAGTTGACTAGATCAATCTGTGTCCATGACAGGGGGCAACAGGCCTCTGCCATCCCCCCCCACCCCAGTCCCACAAAAATGGGAAGGAAGGAAGAGAGGAAAAGAACAGCAGCAACAATCTATGGAGGAAAACTTATTTTACTATAATATTGGAATACAAGATAACACAATATATACAATTTAATTGAAATTGAGATTAATAAATCAGACTATGAAAGAGAGTTCCCGGGACCGAGTCAAACCTGAAAAGCTTGGAACGGCCAGGAAAGCACCTCCAGCACCCACTGCAAGGCAGCAAGAGAGCGCCCCCCCTCCCCCACCCGGAAGGGCCAGATCCTGTGACTGCTGTAATGTACAGGGATAGGTACCTGGAATTGGGGCAGTGACACTTTAATGCCCCATACACTACATGATGTTTTGATGTGGAATACTGAATACTGAAACCTGAAAAAACAAAAAGCATAAAACCATGACAGTCCTGAAGTAAAAACAGAATAAAAAGTGATTTTACAACTTCTTCAATGTCTTCAGCAGGATATTTTCATGTGTTCTTAGAAAGTCTTTTATTTAATTAGTCTTTCCCAGTCATTGAGGCAATACATTACTCTTCAAGAATGTTTAAGTCAAATTTGACTACATAGTAATGATACATTAATGTGTCACTTGGCCTTTATCTCCAAAATAGCTGATTACCTGTCCTCTTTGGTTACTAAATTAACTTCTGAGAGATCAGATCAGGATGACACTTTAGAGTACAAGAAGTCTATGCCAAGCATGTTCTTTTCTTCTTTTTTCTTAAATTCAAAGCACATTTGCTACTGTTCGGGAAAGTGTAGTTATATACATAATAGTGTTGTTAGTTGCTTTTTGAAACATTTCATGCACAACAGCTATTAAAATAGAATCTTGTCATGGCTTTGGATGGGATACTTAGTTTTATTTGTGAAGGCTCACATGATGCCATGGTTTGGGTTGATGAAAACAGGGGTGATAACACACCAGTAATGTGTTGTTAGAGTTGTTAGAGAACAATACGTACACAAAATCAAGGACTTTTCTGTTACTCATGCTGCCCTGCCAGTAAGGAGATGGAGGACATGCAAGAAACTGGGAGAGGACACAGCCAGAACAGCTAACCCAGACTGAATGAAGAAACATCCCATACCATATAGCATCATTCTCAGCAAGAAAAGCAGGGAGAAAGAAGGTAGAATGTGGAACATTCAAAGTGATGATGTTTGTCTCAAGAAACTTATGCATTGCTTTTCTGGGAATGGCTAAACATCTGCCTGCTGATAAGAAGTAGCTAATGGATTCCTTGCTTTGCTTTGCTTGTGTGAATGTCATTTGCTGTACCTAGTTTGCTATATTTATGTCAACTCTTGAGTTCTTGCACTTTTACCTTTCCAATTCTCTCTCCCATCGCGTCTGAGGAGGATAAGAAAGTGACTGCATTTGTAAGCTGCCTACTGGGGTTAAACCACAATAAATCTGTAGAAAGTGTAAAGAAAATGTCATTCCTGAGAAATCTTAAAAAGGATATTAAAAATATATATTTTTGAGTTTATGTTTTTTAAATATCTGTATAAACTTAGAAATGCAGAAGGAAGGGGGAAAGAAGTTTTAATTTTTCTTCCCAGATGCACTTTTAAAAAATGAAAGTATATCTTTAAAAACACTAGGAAATTTCTATTTTGTTTTCCCTTCTGTATTCCTTAAGAAATTTCATTTTGTATTAGGAGTATTCTTATTATTAATGCAATTTATTAATTCAATTAAAACTTTCAGAATAATGAATTATTGGTATTTAGTTAAAAAATAAATTATTTTAAATAACTTCCAGGTTTTAATTCAATATTATAGATTTAAAGTGACCTTGTTCTTTCTCACATTTTCACATTAAGTCCTTTTTTTCTTTTTCTTTACGGTTTTTCTTTTAATCTCTTAGCTGTATTCCTGTGTTTCAATAAAATTCCTGCAAGGGGATGCAACATGAATAAAAGTCTCAACATGTGAATCCTGCTGCATAAATTCACATACTCTCAAAGTACTTTGTGTGAGTGAGAAAAAAAAATAAATCATTAATTTGCAAGTAAATAAGTATTTTACAGGTTTTAGTTCCTCTAGAATTGATTCTTCAGACAAAGATGAATGAAGGTCAGTGAGGAAAAGTCTAAATATATTATAATTTTTTTCTAATCCTATTACTCACCTATTGAGATTGGATGACAATCTCTATGTAACACTGTTCACTCTAAAAGCTGTGATTTTTTTTTAATTAAAAAAAAAATACAGTATTGGATACTGTTTTTTAACCTAACAGACAGCCAAATACCACACAGCCATTCAATCATTACCACTCACTCAATATTCACCCTGCAGTGGGATGGCTGGCAATATTGAGAAGAAAAGTGCAAGAACTTACATGTTGAGATAAGGAAAAGGAAAGCCTAAGAAAAAAGGGGGAAAAAAAAAGAAAAAAAAGAGGAAAAAGAAGAAAAATAATAATGAAATAAATAAATGTCCTGATTTCCTCTTGAACAAAGCTGCCTTTTTTTTGTTTGTTTGTTTTGTTTTTTTCTTTTTTTTTTTCCCTATTTTCCCCTTCGTAGTATCTGGTACTATGCATGTTTTGTTTTTTTTTTTAGTAAAACAATGTTGATAACACATTGCTATTTTAATTGTTACTAAGTTGTGCACAACCAAGAACATTTAAAATTCTTGTACTGTCCTGCTGGTGAGATTGAGAAAGCAAGCACAAGAAACTGTGAGGGAACAAAACCAGGACAACTGATCTAAATTGGCCAAAAGGACATTCCATGACATATGAAATCATGGTGTGTGTGTGTGTATGTGTGTGTATCTGGGGGGGCAGGATATTTAAACTGTGGGAAGTGGCCAGGGAGCAACTTCTGCTTGGACATCAGTTGAGTGGTGAGAAATTGCTTCTGTATCACCTGTATCGCCTGTATCGCCTGTATCACGTATTCTTATAATTACTATTACTATTCACTTAGTTACTTCCTTTTCTGTCCTAGTGAATAGTTTTTACCTCAAATGATGATTTATACTTTGTTGGGTTGTTTTGTTTTGGTTTTTTTCCTAATTTTCCCTCTGTGTTCCTCCATACCACTGAGTTGAAGGCGTGAGAGAATGGCCATGTTGTGCTGTGCTGCCTGCCATGTTAAGATGCAACAATTTAGCATAATTTTTTGAAGTATTGTATAGCTTATATGTGAGTTCATACCTTGATTTTGAATACAGCAGTTTTCTCCTTGCTCCTAGAATTGAAGGAGTTAATCAAGTAAAGGTTGTATTAGTAAGGTGGTCTTTTTGTTTGTTTGTTTTTACTGAAACAGTGAAGATTCAGTTTATCATTTTTCAGTGCTTTCATTCCATATTTGCAATGAAAGATCTTCTGTTCTGTTTTCTATGTTTTAAAGTATTGTTACTGAAAACAAACAAACAAAAAAAACCACCTGCTTAAAGCAGACAGTAATTAAAACTATATTCTGACCTTTTACAAACACATTCTTCTAAACGCGTGCAGTCTCCTCATTCTTCCTTGCTTTTCTTTTATACTTTTTATCTAGGAAAAACAGTGGAGTTATATATTTTCCAGGGAAAAGTTATTGGTAAGCAGAATGTTGAGGACCTGAGAATTTAACTTATTTTGAGGAACATTGACATATGAAAACAGATCTTCAATACATTGTTATTAAAATTATTCTTACTATTAAAATCACTTAGAATTATGTGGTAATAAAAATACGTTTCTAAAATGATTAAATATTTGATCATAATTATAACCAGATGGAAGCACTAAGTACCTACATGCAAACAACACAGTATTGCAAATATTCAATAAATAAAATAAGGAAAAACATCTTAGTTTGTCTTACTCTCAGAAATGTATCATCAATTTTCTCCAGAGAAAATAGTTTACACAGATCAAATATTCAGTAGATATAATTGCCTGTTATGATAACAATGTTTGAAGAGAATCAGAATCAAAAGAAGTTTGAGGACTATATTTTCCTGGGGAATTCCATTTCTATCTAAATTTTTATTTTAAGTCCTTACACTTTTTGCTTAACAGTTTTGAAAACTCCTCTTCATATGCCACTCATTCAGTACGTAGCTGAATCTTTGATAGAAAGGTCTTCTAAAGCTTTCCAGATAAGTCTGGACTTGCTGAATAATATTATCAAAAGATGAATCTAAAGGAGCTTTCGGTACACTTCATACTGTGATGTTTAACTTTTATCTCATGTTTTCTTTTTTCTATATACATGTTCCCTATCCAGTCATGGGAACAGTTCAGTATACTAGTAGAAAATCTCAGTGACAAAACATCAAACAAGGTTCAACTTAGGAATAAATACTGATGAAACGGACTGTGTTGAGGTACTCAGAGTTTTTTCTTTGGCAATTACAATTTAGTCCAGACCACTGTTCATTATTAAATTTCAGAATCTGTAAAGAAAGAAAAAAAATTAGCTGCTGCATTGGTTCCCTATTATATATCTCACCCACTGGACAAAAACAAATGGAATGCAAAGTTAGAGAAAAATTAACATTTATCACAATGTACAGATAATAATTATATATATATATATATAATTATTATTAAATAATAATGTACATATAATAAAAAATAACATTTATAATAATGTACAGATATTTTTTCTCCTATACAGGAATTCCTGACTTATTGTTAGAATGTGTGCATGAGAATATAAGAGTTGGTACCAAGTCTGCCTTCTCAAACAGTGGAAAACATAGATGATTCTGTCTTAATTCATATGTTGCACCAATAGGGTAAAAGATAAATACGTTATAAAAATTAACCCACTTTTTGCTGTCTTATAGTAACAATATGAAACACATTCAAATAAAGAAAATATTTATCCCTTTTTTAATTTGAATATGGACCCCAGAAGGAAAGAATTTACAATCTGCAAAGATGCAAAAAACATTGTACTTGATATTTATAACTGGATGATCAAATGATCCAATCAAAGTATTCTTGAAGTTAAACAACTGGCTGTGAATTCATTTCCATAGCAGTATTTTAGCAAATTGACTTTGCTCTTGATTATCTCATTCCATTTCCTAATATTGGTATATGGATACCGAATCTGATTTCCCTTCTACTTTTGTGTTTATTTTCTTTTCTTGTCCCACAGCTTCAGCATCAAGAGATTGAAATGGTATGCCAGGAAAGCAGACAAGTCTTAAGGGCAGTGAAAAAAATTTTCCATACAGAATAACCACAATTTTGAAAATTATATATTTATTACTTTCTGTCTTCTGATGGTTCCTCTGCTGGCAGGAAGAAATAGCCCTCAATAATGGAAATCTATAGGAACTTTACTTTTCAGTAGAAGTCGAATAACTGCTTTAGGAGTTGTAGTATTCTATAAATCTACCTGATGAAGCAATAAAAAAAGTTCGAGAAATGATTAGAGTAAGTGAAATGGAGGATGTGAAAAACAACCAAACA